GCATTCCACTTCAAGGATTTATCGCTACAGGACATACAAAACACACAGCCGATATACGTGTAGACACAGTTTTGCTCTGCGGGGCAGTGTAGATAGTTTCCAATAGAGAAAAAATAGGAAACACTCCAAATAGCCATAATTCGGTGGTTTTTTAGGCGACAGGACTCACTCTGTCCCCTAAGCCGGAGTACAGTGGTGCAATCACAGCTCACTGTAACTTCAAGTTCCTGGGCTCAAGCCTTCCTTCCATTTTAGCCTCCCAAGTAGCTGGGATTACAGGTATGTGCCAGCACATCTGGCTAACTTTATTTTTTGTAGAAACAGGGTCTCACTATGTTGCACAGGCTGGTCTTGAACTTCTGGCCTCAAGCAATCCTCCTGCTTCAGCTTCCCAAAGCACTGAGATTATGGTGTGAGCCACCATGCCTGGCTTATAATTGGGTTTTAAGTAAATTATCATTTAGCCCTACAATACCGATACTGATTATGACAAAGTATCTAAGACACATCAAGCTTAATAAAACAAGTTGCATTTCTGTACAAACACTACCATTTCTCTCAAAATGAAAAGCTTTAAAATCCAAGTATAAATGGTTATAGACTGATATACATATTTAGAAAATTCTAAAATATACCAAACAGTGGTTATCTCTGGGAACTGCCATCTCTTTTCTAATTTACCATTTGCACAGTATTTGATTATTTTAACTGTGGGCATATATTACTTTTGGAATCAGAGGGAAAATGCATTTTTTAAGTCTCATCTAACCTGAAAGCTGATTTTTACAATGTCAAAAGTTCTCAATTTATAAACTTCAGACAGATAACTAAAACTAATGGTCAGTAAAAATGACATTCACTCCAAGTTGACAGTTACTATATTAGTTCCTAAACATACTGTACCCATTGATGAACAATTTGAATCAAGAAAACAAATATAAAGTATTAGGTCAAGACTCTGTTTAACAGCCAAACGTTTAAGACATCTGATTAATACTTCTTGTTTGTTTTGTTTTTGAGGTAGAGTTTCCCTCTTGTTACCCAGGCTGGTGTGCAATGGTGCGATCTCGGCTCATCGCAACCTCCACCTCTTGGGTTCAAGAGATTCTCCTACTTCAGCCTCCCGAGTAGCTGGGATTACAGGTATGTGCCACCATGCCCGACTAATTTTGTATTTTTAGTGGAGACAGGGTTTCTCCATGTTGGTCAGGCTGGTCTCAAACTCCTGACCTCAGGTGATTCGCCTGCCTTGGCCTCCCAAAGTGCTGGGATTACAGGCACGAGCTACCACGCTCAGCCTGATACTTCTTAAGTTTGTTTTTATAAATTAGTTTCAAAGCACTGATGGTGCACTGGTAGAAGTTTCAAAGCACTGGTGGTTCAGTGGTAGAATTCTCGCCTCCCATGCAGGAGACCCAGGTTCAATTCCTGGCCAATGCAGCTCCCACCTTAATCCCAGCTACTCAGGAGACTGAGGCAGGAGAATCCCTTGAACCCAGGAGGCAGAGGTGCAATGAGCTGAGATCATGCCATTGCACTCCACCCTCGGCAACAAAAGTGAGACTTCTTCTCAAAAAAAAAAAAAAAATTAGTTCTAATAGTATACCATGTACAAAATAAAACAACATTTTAATGCAGTCACTGTGAAATTCCTGATTGTTTAACAATTCACATTTTTTAGTATGTTCTCCCTAATGATACCTCATTCTATAATCAAAGCTGGTACTAAAAAATACTTTTTATTCTGATAGAAAATAATCTAAGCATACTTTCAAAATGAAACCTACTCTGCAATTGCCAGGGTTTTCTGCATATCTCCAAGATTGGGAAACTAAAGAGTTAACATTATTTAACAGTTTTTGTACTAGGCACTGAGTTGTACCACTTGGTGCCCTCTGTCTACAGAGACTAAGACAAACTATACAAACAGCAGTGAGGAGAACCAACATTTCAACTAGGGACTGAGAGAAGAGATGAGTTTAGTTTTGACTTGAAAGGTTTCTCCCCTTTTTATGCTGCTTTGAATTTCTCAAATGAAGAAACGAGTTACAGCTATCTGAACAGGTAATAAAATATACCCACTGCATTCACATATTCCATGAATGGAAGTTTAAATTGTAAAGTTTTTGTAAAGCAATCATACTCTACAATCAAAAACTTTAACACTGTGCATGCTATTTGACTCGGTCTTTCCAATTCTAGAAATTGAAGTTAAATAGTCAAAAATATGTTCAGAAGGTATACATAATTCTTACAGCATTTTTCTTTTTAGGAAAAACTTAAACATCTTTTTCTTTTTCTTTTTCCCCGAGATGGAGTCTGGCTCTGTCACCCAGGCTGGAGTGCAGTGGTACGATCTTAGCTCACTGCAACCTCCGCCTCCCTGGTTCAAGCAATTCTCCCGCCTCAGCCTCCTGAGTAACCGGGATTACAGGTGCCCGCCACCACGCCCAGCTAATTTTTGTATTTTTAGCAGAGACAGAGTTTCGCCATGTTGGCCAGACTGGTCTTGAACTCCTGACCTCTGGTGATCTGCTTGCCTCAGTCTCCCAAAGTGTGGATTACAGGCGTGAGCCATCGCACCTGGCCAAAAAAATTTAAACATCTTATAACATGAGTTTAGTTACTTTGTGTTATGATATGACCACATGAAAAAAAATTTTTTTTTTTTTTAGACGGAGTTTCGCTTGTTACCCAGGCTGGAGTGCAATGGCGCAATCTCAGCTCACTGTAACCTCTGCCTCCTGGGCTCAAGTAATTCTCCTGCCTCAGGCTCCTGAGTAGCTGGCTTTACAGGCACCTACCACCACACCTAGCTAATTTTTGTATTTTTAGTAGAAATGGGGTTTCTCCATGTTGGTCAGGCTGGTCTTGAATTCCCAACCTCAGGTGACCCGCCTGCCTCGGCTTTCCAAAGTCCTGGAATTACAGGTATGAGCCACAGTGCCCAGCAGAAAAATGACAATATTTTTTAAAAAGTAAATATACAACAGTCCATTTGTCTCACCCGCCTAAAACTAAACATATTGAAAGCAAAGACTTTGTTTTATTCACTGCTTGATTCCTAGCACTTAGAACAATGCCTGGCACATAACAGTCACTCAAAAACTTACAAAATAGGCCAGGAGTGGTGGCTCACATCTGTAATCCCAGCACTTTGGGAGGCAGAGGTGGGCGGATCACCTGAGGTCAGGAGTTCCAGACTAGCATGGCCAACATGGTGAAATCTTGTCTCTACCAAAAATACAAAAATTAGCTGGACATGGTGGCAGGCGCCTATAATCCCAGCTACTTGGGAGACTGAGGCACAAGAATTCCTTGAACCCGGCAGGCAGAGGTTGCAGTGAGCCAAGCTCACACCACTGCACTCCACCCTGGGCGACAGAGTGAGACTGTCTCAAAAAAAAAAAAAAAAAAATTGTCAAATGAATGCAGTAATGCAAGTGAATACAGAAGAGGTTTTAGCTAGAAATATATATGTAATAGGATCACATAACATATACATTTACCTTAACCGAATTCAACTGTCCAGACTAAGCAAAAGAAAGAACTTATGTAAATCATGCATGCTGACTTGCCCTGGAGTGACAGTGGAGAGAAAACCAGAATCTGCTGTTCCCTCTGAGAGTCTCTGGTCCCTACAGCTCTCACATGGTATCGCACTAGCTACACGTGATTCTAGTTTTTTGGGTTTTTTTTTTTTTTAAGGGACGATCTTGCTCTGTTGTCCAGGCGGGACTGCAGTGGCATGATCACAGCTCACTGCAGCCCTGAATTCCTGTGCTCAAGTGATCTTCCTGCCTCAGCCTCCTGAGTAGCAAGAATTACAGGCTCAAGCCACCACACCCAGCCTGATTCTAGCATTTAAAAGATTTTTTAACGTAAGATGGCCCTAAATATAAGCCAGCTGCTTCATCTGGTGCTATACCCAGAAAACAGCAATTTTCTACAATGCTGAGATCTGAAAAGGATTTCCAAGAGTAATTTTGACTATACGGAAATTTTGCCTTAGAGGATGACTTTAGAACCTACTTCCCATTCCAAATAAAATGCACCTCTACTTCATGCCATAGCATACACAAATATATCTATAACCTATAATCATAGATATAACTGGGTGATGAATATGCATAGTGTCTTTGTTTTTATTTTCTAACATTTCTTCAATTTACAAATAGTGCTTTCATAATAAGAAAAAGCTCTATTTAGGCTATGTGTGGTGGCTCACATCTGTAATCCCAGCACTTTGAGAGGCTGAGGCAGAAGGATCCCTTGAGCCCAGGAGTTCAAGACCAACCTGAACAACATAGAGAGACCCTATCTCTACAAAATAAAAAAATGTTTAAAAAAAAAAATTTCTATTTAGGCAGGGCACAGTGGCTCATGCCTGTAATCCCAGCACTTTGGGAGACCAAGATGGGAGGATGACTTGAGGTCAGGAGTTCGAGACAAGCCTGGCCAACATAGTGAAACTCCATCTCTACTAAAAATACAAAAAAGAAAAAAAAAAATTAGCCTGGCGTGGTGGTGCGCACCTGTAGTCCCAGCTACTCGGGAGGCTGAGGCAGGAGAATCGCTTGAACCCGGGAGGTGGCGGTTGCAGTGAGCCGAGATCAAGCCACTGCACTCCAGCCCAAGAGACAAAGTAAAAAGACACAAAAAAAAAAAAAAAAAAAAAAAAAAAAGGTCTGTTTTTAATAGTCCTTTCAACATTCATCAGAGAATGCTAGATTTGGTATCAATATTCCTCTACCTCACCTAAAATAATGCTACCTCTCTAGTACATTATCAATCGTTAATAAACTTACTCATGCAGCATATTCTTTCAGCCTATTACTCTGTTCTGTTTTAAATAATTTCTTAATTCAGAAACATGTAACTCAAGCTATGTATCTTTTCAACAAGAATTAAAGTCATTTTTATTTCTATTAAGAGTCACTTAAATCTGTATGAAATAGAAAATTTTTTTTTAATTTTTAAAAAATTTCAAAATAAGGTACCTGAACATCATAGAGTGCTACAATATTTTCATGCTGAAGTTCCTATTAAGAAAATTGAGAATGAAAAATATGTAAGTATTCTAATACTTTCACTATATTTTAATATGTAAATAAAATTAAAGTATACACTTACACACTACTTCTAGTATTACACTTCTATTAATAGACTAGAAAAATTCAATTCAAGAATAAGAAATGTGCCTGATCAAACAAAAAGCACATTATCTCACTAAAAGAAAATATGATTTTTAGCTCAAAGTGCTACAATTCTTAGCAAAGAGCTCTCGACAGAAAGCAGTTTTGAAGAAATCGGGTGTTAAATGAGGGTTCCACACTTGTGTTAGTTTGGAAAACGCTACGTTAAGTACTTTGAAACCAGTTTCTTCATTGTAGAATTTTCCAGACTTTCTTTAATGAGCCATAGGCTTTGTGACTCTCCAAGAAGTATTTAGCAAATGGGGTTTTCCAAATTTACTTAACCATCTTCTCAAACCATCTCACTTAGATAACACTGGTTGTGAGTGATCTAAAAAAGCCACCTCCAAGGAATATAACTGTCTTCAATTTAAAGACCCCCAGTGCCCCTACTCTCCCCAAAAAACTTAGTAGTAACATGAAAGGGGACAACCGGAGAAGTAAAAACAGTGTACAAGATGGGTCTGCCTGGCCCTCTTCTCAAACAACAACACAGTCACTAGGAAAAAGGAGAAATGATGAGAAGCTAAACTCAGTCTTCACAGAATCCCTCTGAGCTTTGGTTCTTAAAAATGGCTTCTGAGTACTCAATGTTTTAAAAAAGTGAGCATGCAAAAACGAGAGCAACAGTTGAAAATTCTCAAACTTGGACCCAACTACCAAACTGCAAAGGATGGCAGCATGCATTCATTTAAATTAAGTTTTAACCTTATATGAATACTACTATATAAAGTAACATACCTTTAAGATTTTAATTTCCTTTCCAAGCAGTATTTGCGATTTTGACAAGTTCTTTTTATTAATACTTTTAATAGCTACCTCCCAATCAGTTTTCTGAAAAAGAAAAACAGTGTTACTCCTAGATATTCCACAGATGTTTTTAGCAAATAAATGTACGGCATTGGGGAAAAATGGAAAAGAACCTGTATTTTCAATCATGGGAAAGTGACTTCATAAATTATAGTGTAATATGCCAAGGTCCTACAACACAACTACTAAAAATAACAAATATGAAGTCCACATAGTAACTAACATTGAATGAAAAAAGAACAGTTCACAACCACTTCAAAGTTATGGACAAATGTAGAAATAAACTTGCAAGGTGATACGGTTAATTGAAAACTTACTTGTTAGTTTGGAATGATTACACCTTGTTTTTCTTGAGTTCTAAATTATTTTCCTAATAAATGAAAAGTAGGTCGGGCGCAGTGACTCACACGTATAATCCCAGCACTTTGGGAGGCCGGGGCAGGCGGATCGGATCACCTGAGGTCAGGAGTTCAAGACCACCCTGGCCAACGTGGTGAAATACCGTCTCTAGTAAAAATACAAAAAAAAAAATTAGGCGGGCGTGGTGGCAGGCGCCTGTAATCCCAGCTACTCGGGAGGCTGAGGCAGGAGAATCGCTTGAAGCCGGGAGGCGGTGGTTGCAGTAAGCAGAGATCTCGCCACTGCACTCCAGGCTGGGCGACAAAGCGACTGTCTCATAAATAAACAAATAAATAAATAAGAAAAGTAGCATTACTTTATCCGATAAGCAACAAAGTCAGCCCACTTTTAACACGCCCCTTGGCAACAATCAGAACTGCCACACCCTTTAGATTATTTTCACTCCCGATATGCCTTTGCAAATTCTTTAGATTCCAAAACCTCGTGTAACTGTACTTGCGAAATAGAAAAGGCTAAAAAAAAAAAAAACTTTAAGGCTTAAACATGATTTCATGTTCATTGTGATTGAAAATGAATTGTCCAATCACCTTTCTCACCCGGAGCTCATCTATCTGACTCCGGGGGAGAAAACGGTGCCGGGGCTCTTCGGGGTGCAGGGGACCAGTGCTGAGAAAGGTGACACCTCCCAGGCTGAGAAAGCCTGAGGCTAATGGGACATCGCCCATTTTCCGCTGGGTCTGTAATTATCAACCTCAAAGGTGACCAGCCCTGGGCATGGGGAAAAAAACCAAAGGTCCATTCACGCCCAAGCCTCGAGTCTGCACGGGGCAGTACCGTCTATTTTGGGTCGAGGGCAACCTGGGTGCAAAGGCTCCTGCGATCGGCCCGCAGGGTGGGTCCCGGGCACACAGGAGGGTCAGCAGCAGCCGGTCGGTAGGCGGAGCGCTGCCAGAGGCTTGGGCCTCACAACAACCCTCAAAGGACCAAAACAAACCGCGAGACGGGCTGCGCGCACAATAGCATCCCCAGGCGGCTAGCCGTGGCGGGGGGCTCGGCCCGCAGCTGCGCCAAGTTTCAGAACCACCTAGCCCCGTGCCTGCCGCCCGGGGCCCGGCCTCGCCCCGGCCGGCGCTCACCTGGCGGTGCCGCCCCCGGAAGACCACGGCGAAGGCCCCGTGTCCCACGAGATCCCTCTTGCTGTACTCGAAGTCGCCCACCACCTCCATGGCCGCGCCCCCGGGGCACACAGTGGGCGGGCTGGCGGCGTAGCGCGGCGCAGGTATCAGCACCGCGGGTCTGCGGCCCCGGAGCGCGCCAGCTGGCGGCGAGTCTGGGGCAGCCGCAGCCCCTGGCCCGGGCGGACTCTCATGCCGAGAGGCCGGAGCGGAAACGGGGGAGGCCGCCGCGCGGAGCCGGGGTCAGCGAGGCCCGGCCCGGCCCCGGCCGCTCCTCATGGCCCGGCCTGCCGCCGGTCGCGGGCTGTCTGGCGAAGCGGCCTCGGCGCTGCCGGGCCAGGGACGCTGTCACCGTCACTGTGCGCGCCCGGAGCCGCACACGCGCTCTGAGGCAGTGAGGGGCCTGGTACTCTCCATCCCCAGCTCGTCCGGCCTCCTCGGCCCTCCCCGCCTGGGGCGCTGCTGCGGCGGCGGGAGCCGCCGCCCTAGAACCCGCACCGCCGCGGCCCCGCGCTTCCCAGCCTCGCGGCGGCGCCCAACGCCCTCACGCGCGCTACCCGCTCCCGCGCGACTGGCTGCCCTCCGCGACGTCCGCGCGCCTTGAAGGCCGCAGCGCCAGCCCGCTCCCTCCGCCGGGGAAAGGAGTGCGGCCCGGGCGGGGCGCCCGCAGCTGGGGAGATCCTCAGCTGCTCCTGAGGCGGGGACGGCGGGCGCGACCGGCTGCGGCCACAGCGGGTTACGGGCTGCAGGCTCTGTTCTGGGCCTGGGGAGCAGATTCCAGCCGACCACGCCCGGGGCTCCAGGCCGCTGGGAGGCGGACTTCAGAGAAGCGAGTCTTGAACCCCAGCTGCAGGCAGGACGGGAGAATCTCTGCAGGGTAGACCGCCAAATTCCTGCCAGAGCAAAGGAGCGACTGCTACTCCAGGCTTTGCGCGCGCCCTCGAAAACCGCAGTTAATGCTGCCAAGCTGCCGGCCTTCGGACGCCTCTCGGGGTTTACTCTTTCCGGATCCCTAGAGGGACGGTGACAGGCGGGATTCTGCACCTTTTGGTGGTCCCTTGACTCTGCGAGAAGCTGGTCAAGCTCAGGGTCCTCTTCGCAGAGAATCGCCTCTGCATACCGACTCAGGATCGCACACGTTTTCAAGGCTCTCCTGGGGGCTCCCAGTGTCAGGCTAGTTTGACCTCGGGCTTACTTCAAATGGCCGAAGGGAGCTTTCTTTTCTACCTGATTGTTAAAGTTGTTCAAGTGACAAGGAACAGACTGTCAGGTTTCCCGCAAGGAAGTACCTTATGAAACCATTTACTAAACAATATGCTTGCAACGATGAGAAAACGCAGGCCCCACACTTGAGTGTGTGTTCCATTGTTTAGGGTTTGTGCTTTCAGGGTCTTTCACCACCTCGACGGCCGCTGCCTGTCCCTGCAAGCTGATCTCTGAACCGTGACAGAGTCAGCTGAGAGAACCCTCCTTCCTCACACGCTCAAAACCTAGGGCCTTGGGTTTCTGCTTCTGCTACTGTGCACCCTTACGTCATCCTGTCCTTACTTACATCTGGCCCAGGTGGTTGTGTTAGACACTGAAACTCTGGTGCCTTCAAAAGTTGACAGCAACTTAAGCAAGATTGCACGTACACCCAACAATGGATGGAAATGATTCCTTACCTCACTGAAAGATTCTCTACAGTCTAGCCTTTTCTTTACTTTTTTTTTTTTTTTTTTTTTGAGACAGAATCTCACTCTGTCACCAAGGCTGGAGTGCGGTAGCACAATCTCAGCTCACTGCAACCTCTGCCTCCCAAGTGCACGTGATTCTCCTGCCTGAGCCTCCCAAGCAGCTAGAATTACAGGCAGGCACCACCACACCCTGCTAATTTTTGTGTCTTAGTAGAGATGGGATTTCACCATGTTGGCCAGGCTGGTCTCAAACCCCCGACTTCAAGCGATCAGCCTGCCTTGGCCTCCCAAAGTGCTGGGATTACAGGCGTGAGCCACCACGCCCGGCCTGTTTTTTTGTTTTCAGACAGAGCCTTCCTCTGTGGCCCAGTTTGGAGTGCAGTGGCACGATTTAGGCCCACTGCAACTTCCGCCTCGTGGGTTCAAGTGATTCTCCTGCCTCAGCTTCCTGAGTAGCTGGGATTACAGACCTGCACCACCATGCCCGGCTAATTTTTTTTATTTTTAGTAGAGATAGGGTTTCACCATGTTGGCTAGGCTGGTCTCAAAACTCCCAACTTCAAGCCATCCGCCCGCTTCGGCCTCCCAAAGTGCTGGGATTACAGGCATGAGCCACCGCACCCAGCCACATGAAGGTATTTTTAAGAAACCACGGATAGGCCCTTCATTTGGACATGTGTCGTGTCCTGTATTCATTCACAGGCCAAACATGGGCCCCATGGACCTATCCATTTGAAAAGCAAAATGTGCAGGATTTCTGACCTCAAGGGTCAGAAAAGAAGTGGGGGCAGGAGGCAGGGGGTGCTTTGCTAAAAAATGTTTAGTTAGGACTATGTTGGTAGCAAATAGCAAACGTCAAATGTGATAAAGTGAAAAATAAAGAATGTAGATAAAGATACAGGTGTGCTTCTCAGAGTTCCAGGTCGGGCTTCAAAAGCAAACTACCCGCAGAACCAGGATCTCAAAGAGAACCGCCTTCCGTCTGTGCCCCTGCTTTGTTCTCTTGCCTGAGATCTCCTACGTGGTGACAATGGCAGCCCCCGTCTCCAAACCAAATTCTTTTTTTTTTTTTTTTTTTTGAGACAAAGTCTCGCTCTGTCGCCCAGGGTGGAGTACAGTGGTACCATTTCGGCTTACTGCAACCTCCGCCTTCCGGGTTCAAGCGATTCTCCTGCCTCAGCCTCCCAAGTAGCTGGGATTACAGATGCGTGCCACTGCACCCAGCTAAAAATTTTTCTGCATTTTTAGTAGAGGCGGGGTTTCACCATGTTGGTCAGGCTGGTCTTGAACTCCTGACCTTAGGTAATCCAACTGCCTCAGCCTCCCAAAGTGCTACGATTACAGGCATGAGCCACCACACCCAGCCACCAAATTCTTAAGGAAGGGATTCTGATCAACCTAACTTCAGCTGGGTGCTGGGCCCTGAACAATCATTGGAAGCCAGGAATGGGACTGAGGAAGGCAGGATCACGTAACTATGGCGGCCCCCAACACAAGCCTGTGGGCCTTCTGAGTCCCCAGAACTCATAGGCACATAGGCACCCCAAGAAGCGTTCACCCTAGATCAAATTTAAGCTTCATTTGAGAATGGAGGCCAGGGGAGATTTCTAGTTTACCTCTAAAATCACTGGAAATTGTCAATTTGATTCATGTTCATTGTTCTTAATTTGTCCTGTGTGTGTAGGTGCATGTGTGTTTAAACATGCTAAACTGTTGAAATCTTCAATACCAGTTAGTAAATAGAATAACAGTAACTGCAATGAGAGGTAAAATTAATTAGTAATATAGGCCAGGCGCAGGGGCTCATGCCTGTAATCCCAGCACTTTGGGAGGCTGAGGTGGGTGGAGTCACCTGGAGGTAAGGAGGTTCCAGACAAGGCCTGGCCAACATGGGCGGAAAACAGCACTTCTCTATTAAAAGATTACAAAATTAGCAGGCGTGGTGGGTGGGTGCCTGTAATCCAGTAAGAGGGAGGCTGAAGGCAGGAGGATCACTTGACACCTAGGAGGGCGGGGAGGGTTGCAGGTAAACCAAAGATTGGGCACATTGCACTCCAGCTGGGATGAGAAAGGAGCACAAATCATCTCGAACACGACACACACACAACACACACACACCCCACAAATCGTTTGGGCATTGTCGTTGCATCCGGCTACTCAGGAGGCTTCGTGGCAGGAGAATGCTTGACCAGGAGTGGGGGTTGTGGTGGCCGGGATGGCGCCAGTGAAGAGCTGCCAAGCCTGGTTACAGAAAGAATGTCTTCAAAAAAAAAAAATTTATCTAATATATTTTAATATAGAACTGGGTTTAGTTTATCATCCATGTATAGGAAATTTGGATGGAGTAAAAAATGATCTCGCTGATTGACATAAAATGTGAGAAATTTTCTGCTGGGCAGGATTTTCCAAGATGGCAGAATAGCATTTCTATATTTTTTCTTGCAATTGACATCATTTCGTATTCCGTTCTATTTGAGTTCTATTTGTTTCTAGTTGATTACATTGCTGGATTGCTTTTGATTCTGTGAATTGTTAGTGCCATTTGGCCTTTAATATTTTATAAGCAAGAATTTACATTAAATTAGTTCGAACAATAAGGACATTTAAAAGGAGCAGCATAACAATTTTGAGTATGTTGTTTGAAAGTTTTTAAAAATTACCATAATAACAAATCTTCTTGAATAATAAATAGAGGTTTGCGTGAAACGGATTCGTATAAAGTCAGCTAGGGAATATTTTGAGACAATGAAAAAAAAAAACCCAGCAGCGGAGGCATCTTTGTTATATGTGTGCAAATCACAGGTATTAATTTGGCCAGGCGTTGGCGGTGGCCTCCGCCTGTGAATCCCAGACTTTTACGGAGGTGAGACGGGGCAGATCACAAGAGGGAGGGCATGCTATGCTAACGGCGAAAAGCCCCGCGGTCTTCTACTCAAAAATACAAAAATTAGCCGGGGGTGGTGGCGGGTGCCTGTAGTCCCAGCTACTTGGGAGGCTGAGGCAGGAGAATGGCGTGAACCCGGGAGGCGGAGCTTGCGCTGAGCCGAGATCGCCCACTGCACTCCAGCCTAAGCAACAGAGCGAGATTCCATCTCCAAAAAAATTAAAAAAATAAAAAAAAATTGCATTTCAGGCCAGGCACAGTGGCCCACGCCTATAACTCCAGCACTTTGGGAGAATGAGGCGGGCAGATTGCTTGAGCTCAGCAGTTCAAGACCAGTCTGGGCAACATAGGAAAAACTCATCTCTACAAAAAATAAAACAATTGACCAGGCTGGGCTCGGTGGCTCACACCTGTAATCCCAGCATTTTGGGAGGCCAAGGCAGGAGGATCACTTGAGGTCAGGAGTTCGAGATCAGCCTGGCCAACGTGGTGAAACCAGAAGACGACGACTCTATAACATTGCTTGGGGTTGCAAAGTTTTCTGGAAGAAAGTCATGTTGGAGAAAAGTCTGAAAAGATGTATCAGAGCTTGCCAAGTAGGAAAGGTGAGTGAAAAGAGCGTGTTCAAAATGTGGCATTTGTGGGAACCAGTGGGCTGTTTGACATAACAGGAATATAAGGGACATGGTTGGATGGGTTGGATAGAATAGTGGGAGATGGGGCTGGGAAGTTAGGTTGGGACCATATCCAGGAAGGTGCTAGAGGCCCTGCCAACTTCTACTTCCAGCCCGTCTGATAAGGTCATGTCCAAAAGGACTATGAAATGGGATCAAGAAGAAGCTGGGTTCCCCAGTTCTGTTCACCACACTGTTGTCCATAGCTCTTACTTCTTCATCTGGGCTCTGGTGAGCATGTGTCCTAGATGAACAGATGCACAGGTCAAGGAATGTGGGAAGGGGCATGGAGCTTCTATGTCCTCTCCAGGCACAGCACCCTC